CATTTTGAATTATGACCCTATCCTCCAAAGCAGTTGCAATCCCTCCCAGTTTGGTATCATCTGCAAACCTAATAAGCGTACTTTCTATGCCAATATCTAAGTCGTTAATGAAGATATTGAACAGAGCCGGTCCCAAAACAGACCCCTGCGGAACCCCACTTGTTATGTTAGGTCAGGCTCAAAGTAGGAGCAAGGTTTAAAACACTTGAATCCATGAAAAACTGCAGATCCAATTATAGCACTGGAATTTAGGCTGGCATTTTCAAACCTGGATGCCTAAATTTAGCTCCTAAATACAAGCAGCCTGGCTTTCAAAACTGATGAGCGCCCATCGATCTCACTGAAATCAATGGCAGTTAAAGTGTCAGTGTCACTTTTACTTAAGTGCCGAACTTTAAACAACTAGATTTGAAAATATTGGCCAAAGGTTTGTATATGTGCCACATTTAAAAGAACGGTTTGGTTTAAAATTGCATCTATACATTTCAAGCTTTAGAGCCTACTACTTTGGTGTCCAAACATCACCAGCATTGGTAACAGACGTAGACCACCTCAATCGTTTAGCCTAGAACTTATCTGTAGCTGCCACATTCTTTCAGACATAAAGCACTGGAACATGTACTAGGCTCCTGAACTGGAACAAAATGCAGCCTACAAAAGTGTAACTCTCCAGATGTTTTCAGCAGGAAATATCAAAGCTACAAAGTGCCAATATTTAAAGATTCTGTAAATTTATGGAAAATCTGTACCCCTTGTGCTTTATTGGCCTTGCTTGTAAGAAAAGAATTCATATGGTATTCAGAGAAAGCATTCCATATTGCAGCCTGCGGTTGGTGGAGTTCTAGATACTCCTAGAGCAGCCTGTTTCCTTTGAAACCTAAGTCATAATTTCCATGTTGTTTTGTATGGCAAAAACCTTGGGTTTTTTTCTACTGGTTTTCATAAGACGGTTTGTATTTCACACGAAATTCAGTGTATTTATGATACATTGAAGATTACATGTGTGCATTTCCAAGAGGAGATTAAGAAAAAAGGCCCATAAAATGGTGCATAATGCAGATAATTGGTCCTTGCTTTCTTTATAGTACCTGTTTCTGTATTTACAGACAACTAAATTGTGTCCCCTTCAGTCTTTTTTTCTTCAGACTTGCCAATGGTTCTATTGAAGGGCCTGTTTTGCAAATAAAACTCATCAAGCTTTGTTGGTATGTCTCAATCTTGTTTGCTGCTTTTCCAGGATTTAAGTGAGTGAGGCCTTCTTAACAAAGATGTTCTCCAAAAATAGACCTGTCCTGGTTACTAGCCTGATGGCTGGCATACTCACGTCGGAATCATCCCACAGCCATTTTGACACTTCTTTGTGGATTGGCTGTTAGAAGGGGGAGGGAGGTGGGAGATTTGGGCAAGGAAAGAGGAAGAAGGAAATGTATAAAAACAAAATATAACCAGTAGCAAGAGGTGGAATGATGAAAGGGGCCACCACCACCTGCAGCAACAGCAGGAGTTCTATACCCAGCCTGCTCCTATGGTTAAGTATCTGGACTACAGCCTGGGCTCTATGAAGGGTGGATGCTGCCTGAGAACAGATGTCCTCTGGTACCACTTGGGAAAGTAGTGACACCAGAGGTGCATGCTGCGTGGGCCACAGGGTCACTAAAGTCCCCAAGTGACGAAAAAATGGGAGGATGGTGGTGCTTCCCCTCTCCTCTGGCACTGCTGCAAGGATGTGATTTTTTGTTTGTTTGTTTTATAGGTCTGCTCATCTCATATGTGGGTCAGGGACTATACATGGCAAATAAAAGGGCCTGCCTAGACACAAGTCAGCTTATGTGCAAGTACATATGGTAGCTGTTCAGATTGAACTTTGAAAATGGGCTCTTCTTCACATACCTTAGTAGAGGTTCTTTGTCACTGATACAGGGTTAAATAAAATGGTTGGTGTGTTTTTTTTAATAGTTTTGTAAGGATTGTTTTGGCTCATGGGAAAAAACCTAGACCGTATTCTACTTTCATTTACACCAGTGAAAACCAGCAGATCTCCACTAAAGTCAGCAGTGTTATTCTGGATTTACTTTGGGGCAAGAACAGAATTTGTGTTTCTGATTTGGTAAATGCATAGATTTTTTAATAGAAGTAACAAATCCCACCACCATGTAGGATTTTGCTGAATCAGGCTTCCATTTCCCTCTCTTGGTATTATATAAAAATCATGTCTATAGTGGTCACCATTTAAAAATCAACATTTCCTAGCAGATACCCCACAGTTATTACAATTGTTTCCTATTTAGGGGGAAACTGTGGCATCTCAATTACCACTGTAACTGACACATGCTGATTTTTTTTAATGGTGACTGGATATTAAAAGCTGGATGAAAATCAATAATTTGTCTTTTCTCATTGTAGTTGGTCCCCGGTCAGATACTGATGCAAATGAGTCCATTGAACAAATAGATGAAGATATAGCAGTGACTCAAAGTCAGATGAACTTTATTTGTCCTATCACACAGGTATGCTATTACTATTACTGTAGTAGATAAATATTTCCCATCTTCAATTACTTCACTGCAACTTCATAGCCATTATAATCCTATTCACATTCCTACCTATATAACATACTTGTTAGCTATATATGTATATTGATTTTTAGAAACCAGACAATGGTCATGTTGCTGAAATAAAACCTCGCAGGAATAATGCAGTTTACCACGTGGGGTCTGATCCTGTAATTTGAGTAGTACAGCATATGGACCACAGAGACTTCCTGCCGCTTTAAGCAAGAGACTCTCATGTGTGGGGCTTGGAGTTTAATTATATTTTGTTGCCAGGGGACAGTACTTTCTGCCACAAGATAATACCTTCCTAACATATGGGGGCCTGGATAGTTGTGAAAGTCAAAGTTGATTGTAATAATAGCTAGAGAGAAAGAAGGGTGATACCTACAAACTGTATTCTATACAGGGGCGCAAGATAGTTGGGGATTTTCTGTCAGAATGATTTTCTGTTTGAAAAATGCTCTTTTTGCAAAATCCAAAATTTTCCATTGGGAAAATCAAAATGACAGCTGCCCATCCAGAAGGTCCTTGCCAATTTCATTTTCAGACAGAAAATGAAACTGACACAAGCCTTCAAGGCAGTAACGAGCAATCCAAAAAATTCCACGTTGATTCTTCCAATGCAGAATTTTTCTGGAAATCTGTTACCACCAAAAATATTGTGTTTTTTGTCCTGTCTTGGGATGATTCCCCCCCCCCCTCCCCCCCCCCCCAAAAAATGAGGGAGTTTTTTCCATGTAATTGATTTCCTTTTACCAGTCATCTCTAACTGGGGCTGTTAGCAACATCCCACGGCAGATCTGAGAATGTTTTCAAGGTCATCATTAGTTCTGTTAAGTACAGTCATATTGATTGCAGATGGAAATGCAGAAGCCAGTTCGAAATAAAGTCTGTGGCCATACCTATGAAGAAGAAGCCATTCTAAAAATTATACAGCGTCGAGAAAATCAAAAGAAAAAGGCATGGTAAGTTAGCAAAAATGTGGGGGGGGGGAATACTTGGCTTGCTGTGTATGTGGAATCATATTCCACTTGTTCTATGAAATTTATTTGTGTTGGCAAGGCTGAAGGAAGTAATATTTAAATGTCTGCCCCAAATCAGTCTCCTCATTAATACTGTGCACATGGAGGATACCTCTTGTTTTTATTTAAAAATATATATATATATTTAAGGAAACATTCAGCAAGCGTATGGGGAAGTAACAGCCATTCCCAACAAAATAACAGAGATCTAGTACAGTCCTTAACAATACAGAGAAATTTTAACATCTTAAAGTTGCTAGTTCATTTTTTTTTCTTACCGTGTGTTTTTTTAAACTGTCAAAGTTGGTGTAAAAAATAATATAACTCCTTTGCAAATGGAAGGGAAAAGATAGTGCTTTTATAGCTGATATATGGTACTACAATAAGAAAAAGGAACTAATACAGACAATTATAACCCCCTAGATGAAGGGAAGACTGTTCAGCCAGAAAAATAAGCTGTACAGTCCCTTCCATAATTCAGGAAAACACATAGATAATGCTGGTAGTACTGCCTATGGTTAAGGTTGCTTGACACGTTCCATAAAAAGACCCTATTTTCAGCTGCTTATAACTTTGTTAAATTTAGGGCATATATTTTTCCATGCTGGGTGTCTAGCTCAGGCGGCTGCTGCTGCTGTTATTATTGTTGTTTAATTTCAGCAAAAAGGTTTCAGCCATTTGAGAATGAGATCAGGGAAAATATGGGTGAGTTTGCCTATGTTGAAAACATATATTCTCGGTCTTCTGGTGAGAAGCAGGGCCATGATATTTGGCAGTGGGGTCACCGTGGTGTCGGAAAGAGACTGATTTTCACCAAGCAGCATATGTTTGGCCAGGTTATAAGCCTCTGAAAAATTTGCAGTTTTGCACATGCTCAGGAGAGGTTTGTAAGAGGTTGATGGTATTATTCTCCAAAGATTCTATCTGCACTGAACGTATGTAAGCTGCACACAGCTCCCGTGGGATGACTGGCTGCTCGTGCACCATCCCCACAGTGACTGTGCATGCACCATCACAGGACTGCAAAAGCTGAGTAGGACTTTCCCTGAAATTGTTCTTCCTGACTTCAGGAAAGTTGCTGTTGTGCTAGCCACTCAAATGGATAACAGGGAGAAAGCAATCTGACTAGAATGCAAATGAGTGAAGGGAGATAGGCGCTCTGGGAACAATAGGAGTCAGGGGGGACAGGGAGGCAGAGGCACAGAAGCTGGGTTAGGGGATAGGACAAAGTGGGACAGCAGTTGGGAGGTGGAAAGGAGCCAAAAGAGGTAGCAACAGGAGCCAAAGGGTGGGAGCAAAAGGGAACAGGCTGTGGGGACAAGGGCAGAACGGCCTATAACCACTAGACACACTCCTCTCCAGAACCTGGAGTTGAACAAAGTAGTACCAAGTCTCAACGTTCCTCTGCTGTCAGTAATCAGCAGTGAAATCCACTAGCAAAATGAGTCTCTTCCTCCTCCAGAGGATGGTCCACATGGACAATAACAGCCCTGCTACTCAGATAGCTCAAGTCACAGAGGTTGTTGCTGTGAATCTAAAGGTTCTAATCTTGCTGATGACCCACATGGGAGTCAGTATGCTTCCACATGATAGAATCTGTTTTTTCCGCTTACTTTTTAAGAAACTAAGGAAATTACATGGAAACACACATCCCTATATTAAGGTTGCCAAGTCAAGCACTTAAAATTTAGAAAATGCCAGAATTCAAATTGCACTTCTGGCATTTCCTAACTTTTTGAACTTTTTGTTAAGGCAAAGTTAAAATAAAACGTTAACATACTACATTGTACCTTACTTATTCAGTATCAGATTACTATTTAAAGAACATGGCTACAGATTCTGGCTTGCCGGCTAGGGAGCCCTCTTCCTCTGAGTACACTAGAAAGAGTGACCAAATTTCTGAATACCTATCTTCTTTTTGGCACTTCTTGTGTATGTATTTGGTATGAAAGCTTTTCCATTACAAGAACAGTTCATATTTTATTGTACCCCGTTCCATAGGAGATGGGGTCACATTTTTCCAATACTGTGCAATACAGAGTCTAGCTGTTAGAACAATACATTAATTTATTTTTATTGCTGTTTAAAATGCAGATCCTTTGCTGAAGCATTAAGTAAGCAGGTCAGGGGATCTCTTGGAAGCCAGCATTTTGTCATAAGATGAATCTCTTTAATAATTTCTTCTAAAAAAAACAACTAATTTCTGGACACCACTACCACATGATCAAGTATGTTCCCCTTTTCCGGCCAACCCTCCAATGGAATGCTTCCTTACTAGCAAAAATATGATGGATCTTAACTAGAGTCAAATGCTATCTATACAGTAATTTATACATTTTTCTTTGAGCTCCACAAATTGAAGATGTATATCCCCTTTCCCATAGAGAGCCCTAATCATCAAGGTCAGTTTCTTTGTCCAAATCCCTCAACAGCTTTTTCAATCAAAATTGTGTATATCTTATAAATTTAAACCTTTTGTTTCCAGCTTTCTCCTGGGTCAACTCCTCAAATGTGGTTAAAGGTCTCGAGAGTCTCCTCATGTCCAGATTTCACAATAAAATGTTTGACTTGTAAATACTGAAAACACGGGACCTTTGTATTTACATTTCAGAGTAGCAGCCGTGTTAGTCTGTATCCGCAAAAAGAAGAACAGGAGTACTTGTGGCACCTTAGAGACTAACAAATTTACATTATTACCTACCTCTTGGTGTGACTTCAGATCAGGACCCAGAAACAGCTGTCTGAATTGAGAAATCTCAGCGCCTACCCACAATGAATGGTCCCTTTGATATTTCCTAGGGATAAATTCCTGATAGGAAATGCTACATTAATTAACAAACTTTTGAGTGCTGGACCTGCAACCTTAACATTGTTTAATATAGGGGTATTTTTGATGTAATCATATGGTATGTTAGACGTGCACATGACAGCAATAACAGGGGTTTGCTCTAATTACATTTAGAAAGGTCAGTTAGGCATGCTACATGTAACTCACTTCTGCGTATATCTGTCTGTTAAAATGAGCTGAGTTGCTGTGTAATTAACATTTGTTCTGGAAATACAGAATCGGCTTTTGAAATGCCACAACCTGGTAGGTCTATAGAAACCATTCAAAAGCAACAGAGGGTCCTGTGGCACCTTTGAGACTAACAGAAGTATTGGGAGCATAAGCTTTCGTGGGTAAGAATCTCACTTCTTCAGATGCAAGTAATGGAAATCTCCAGAGGCAGGTATAAATCAGTATGGAGATAACGAGGTTAGTTCAATCAGGGAGGGTGAGGTGCTCTGCTAGCAGTTGAGGTGTGAACACCAAGGGAGGAGAAACTGCTTCTGTAGTTGGATAGCCATTCACAGTCTTTGTTTAATCCTGATCTGATGGTGTCAAATTTGCAAATGAACTGGAGCTCAGCAGTTTCTCTTTGGAGTCTGGTCCTGAGTTTTTT